ATCTGGAGTAATATGTCCAGATTTGGGCCCCCCACTACAGAAAGGATGTGGACAAGTTGGAGAGAGTCCAGTGGAGGGCAACAAAAATGGTTCAGGGGTTGTGGGAACAGGGCTTATTTACCCTGGAGAAGAGAAGACTGACGGGGATTGAATAGCAGCCTTCAAATCCCTGCAGGGGGGCTGCAAAGAGGATGGAGCTGGGTTGTTCTCAGTGGGGGCAGATGACAGGACAAGGAGCAATGGGATCAAGTTGCAGCAAGGGAAGTTTAGGTTAAATATTAGGGGAAAACTCTCACAGGGAGGTTAGTAAAACACTGAACAGGTTACCCAGAGAGGAGGTGGAGTCTCCATCCTTGGAGGTTTTTAAGACCCAGCTACAAAAAGCCTTGAGCAGGGGGTTGGAAAAGGTGACCTTCTGAGGTCCCTTCCAAACCTACGTTTCTACGATTCTTAGTAGGAATCCAGAATGTGGGCATGTTTGAGAAGCCAGTGGCATCAAATCTGACAGTCTCATATGGTGTCTGATGGGGAAACCCAGTTTGAAATGAAATGGAAGGTCCTAAATGGAAATGTTGCTGTTGTGCTTTTACTCTGAATGTTCTGCCCAAGGAATTCTGTGCGTGTCTTCCCATACAGTTGTATTATGAATTGGTTTGAACTGTTTCAGGATGGGCTTTTCAAAAATGCTACAGCTACTTAAAGCATGCATCCCATTGATGTTTCAACTAAACCTGTTCTCCTAAGTCTCAGTAAGTGCTTTTGAAAATTCCACCTTTAGGGATTGTCCACACAGATAAAATAGCTCTTCTGTCATACACATCTAATCCACTTCAGACAGGGACTAAACTTACACTGGAGAAAGACACTTAATGCAGGGTAAGTGTGTCCACATAGAGAATTAGGACCAAATGGTTATTGCACTTTAAATTCACAGGCCAGTTTATTCCACAGTAACTTTCTCACATAGACAGTTTACTTAGTCTTTTGATTTCCTGTTGTGTTTGAATGCAATATCATCTGTGTGTGTGGCAGCCAGTTTTCATTATTCTATAAGGAAATTCATCCTGAAGTGCCTCCAAGGCTTTGGCTGCACAAACTTGCTTAAAATTTAAAGCGAAGCTGGAAGAATCCAAAACCCCTTATTTGCTCCTAATTAAATCTTGTGTAAAGTCACATCTTTATTTAAACAGCTGTAGCTGTTTGTAGCAACTGCCCTTAAGAACAGACTCATAAAAAAAAAACATTAAAAACAGTGATGTATTTGAGGTGTATTTACGTTCGCTCTGTTCCTCCGGTGCAAACTGGAAACATCTAGTGAGATTATAAAACCCTTGGCTCACTGTACCTTGGTTAGTGAAATCATCAGACCTTTCACCTTATGACACGGACTTAAACTCATGCAATCTTGTCGCAACCTGCTTTACCTCTGGAGTCCATATAGGAAACTCGGGGCAGGGTTGTTTCTTTCTTAAATGTTAAGAAACAGGCTGCATCACAGGGCAGTTTGGTCCGGCATGAGATTTTAGTGTTGTGTCTCTGATTTCAGAGGGAGACAAAAAAAAAAGCTCTGTAGTACTGAACCACTGGGGGAAACTACCACCACTATCACTGACAACAGTAATAATAATAAATCAAATTTACATCGGGCCTCCTCTAGAAGGGCCTCGGAGCACTTTACAAATGGCATAAACAGGGATCTGTTAACCTACCACTGAATTACAACTGCCTCTGTAGTAGACCATGGCAACTCTATGCAACCTTTTGAAAGCGGAAGAGTTAGAGAATTTAATTAGTGCTGCCGATATGAAAGTCAGCCTACTTTATTAATTTCAGGAGAGTAATTCGTGCAACATCCCTTTGAGTTAAAATGAGGACTAGTGATTTGGACAAGGTTACCTAAGAAATCAGGGGGAGGGTCGGGGACTGAATCCAGATCTGATTCTCAGTCTTGTACTTCAAAAGCAAAGTGACCCTTCTGCTTGCCTGCTAGTGAAATTACAGGAGGAATAGTAGAGACACATAAGCCATTCACCTGAATAGGGTCCAGGCCAGACTTCAAGACTAGCACCAGTGTTCAGGACATTAGTCTGAAAGACAGCCCCTCCAGTAGTTCAGTGTCCTTAACCCTATTATGATCAACTCCAGTTCTTGGGTTCTCCTTAGAGGTCTATCAACCAAGTACTAATACGATCTGTCTCTCCTTACGATGACTTAGTGGTTAGATCACAAAGCTAGGCAGCAGGACTTCTGGATTTAAGTCATAACCCTGCCACATGCTGATTTTAATCTTGACTCAAGTCACTTCATGTCACTGTTTCTCAGCATTGTCCACTGCAAAATGGCCATAATCAAATTCACTGTAACATTCAACTCATTCGCTTCTTCTTCAGGGCTTGTTTTACATTAGCTGTTGCACATATAGCACTTCTTGAGATGAAAGGCTATATCATACTGAGATCTCATGTGCCCACAGCTCAGGGCAACATAGCTGCAGGCTTTGCCCTAATACATTGCAAATTGCAAATCCATGCAGTTTCCCTCCTAACTAATGGTTATTGCAGATGCTGTACTCATCCCTGTGTGCACAATTTTTTTTTATAGAGTGTACATCAAGCTGTTCGTCTCAGTAGCATCATGCAGCCATGAACTGTTACTGGATGAGCTTTCAGCAAGGCAGTGACAAGCAGGTTATGCATTTGACTATAGAAGCATGAGGTGACTATTCATTCTCCAGGAACAGAGGTCAGCAGCAGTCTCCATTTTGTGGTCTGGCTACATTTTACCTTAAGCTCTGCGGATCACATTCAGATAAAGGTTTGTGTGGATGCCAGTCCACAATAATGCCATAAATGGCAATGAATTTACTCTGATGCAGTTGAGATCAGAACTTAAGTCTGAGCATTTTTCTAGAGAGCCCAGTATGAATCTGGATCAACTTGATGAATGATTTGCTTTGGGAAAAAGACTCGGATGGCAGGACTTCTTCTGGGAGAACTGAATTGTTTGCTGAGGCTGAACAACTCTGGGATGCTGCAAGTGATAAACCAAGAAGGCAAACTCTCTGTAGCTTGAGCCTGATCAACAAGATGATTATCTGGTATAGTCATTTGTGAATGAACAAAGCAAATGTGTTTTCCTCTGCCATAACACTGGGACATGTTGTTGGTATTGAAGGATACATGGAGGCTGTGGTGTCTAAAAGGGTGTGGGAATGTGACTACTACTCAACCCTGAGACCAGGGCAAGACCTTTCAGTTCGTTCCCCTCTCCTTGAAGCTCAGCTTATGAGTTGGCTTCCCCCATGCAGCCACTGCCCATCAGCCCATCGGAAG